CATGCTGTGAAAATAACTCATTTTCAACATAGATTTTCATTAAATGTTTGGCTGGCATGGTTAATGGCATGCTTATTGGACCCTACTTGTTTCTACCTGGACTGACCAGTGAAATTTATTTTGATTTTCAAAGTTAAAGTTTGCGTTTAAAATCCTCTATTTTGATTTTATGAAATTTTTGTATACCCAGTGGCACTGGCGCTACTAAACGAATTTAAGCTGAGATTCACTTGAAAAGACAGCAGTTTTTTAATTTGTCTAGCACATAACCAGTGTACATTCTAGTAACGTGCCTTATCAAAAACACTTTTTTATTAAATATTATCTTCAGTTATACAACATTTGTCCAGTGAAAATCATTCTGCTTATCAACTATATTTGCTGATAAGAATATTGACCGTCGATAACCTATCGATGCAATTATACAGGGAGTAAACGTTATGATAGTCATTATTTAAATGGGTGATAGAGAAGGTTAAAAGAAGCAAAAAGTTTCATATAACATGGGGGCCAAAACGGGATTTTTTTAGAGAAAAGCGACTTTAAAGTAAAATAAATCTAACAACCGTTTGCGATCGATTACTATTTCGATAAGAGTGATGATGACCGACGCGCTGTTGTCATGTGTGTTTCAAATATTCAATTTAATGAAACTTACTTAGTTACTGACTACAAATTTTGGATTAACTTAGAAAAACTTAATGCCATTTATTTGTTAATTACCCAATTTAAACACTTTTTAGATTAGATTATAAAAATTAGTAAGATTGTGGTGATTGTGGTCGATATAAAGTACTTAAAGTTGTAAACTATAAAGCCATTTAGACAAAAATCTATTGACTTTTGGACCATGGGCCATATGAACTTTTTGACTTGTTGTGACCCCCCCCCCTATTACCCATTTCAATAGTGACTACCATAACGTTTACACCCTGTATAAGCATCTATTGAATAATTCCGATTGAGTTGTAAATCAATTGATTAATTTATTACTCTGGGAAACAAAAAAAAATAAAACAAAACCTCTGACGCTAATTATGTTAATGGTCGTAAAATATACACTTTTGTTAGACATACACAGGACGCCTTTACTTTTATTGGATTGACTCTGGTTCGTAAGATAATCGGAAAATAAGAAAATCAATGGAAACATTTTCACTAGGGCGCCAATTCTTAAAACGAGACAGTAGAAAAGACGATAAGCTCACGAGAACTAGATCGCCGACGGCCAGCCGGTGCATAAGGGTCCCAAGACTGTTAGAGACAGCCCTCTACTGGAGGGCATCTAGCATAAATAATCTAGTCTGGGCGGCAGCACCCTAGACGTGTGAGCAATTCAAGCAACACAAGCAAATGCCATAACGAGGTCTAGACTCACTCAGGGCATATATAATAGATATTCAATAAATTAGGACAGCTTAAAACAATTCTCAAATTTCTAAAAAAATATTTATAAGAGGATTATGATTTACACAGCTGCTCACAGTGGCTCGTCCAACTCAAACACTCATCAGAAAATACTCCGAGGAAATTTGTATATTTTGGCTCTCTAATACTGAATTATTGACATTTGTACTTCTGTTTTCTCGGTGTTCAGAAAAATGTCACGTGAGTTGAAAAAGTTAATCAGTTTCGTCAAGGACTCTATGCATTTTACTTGGATGACAGAATCCTCTTTCGATGAAATAAGCAAAGATATGTCATCCGCAGAAACTGTGTATTTAATGGTGGGCAAAACATCTGCGATCTGATTGACATATAAGAGGAAGATAATCGGTCCCAGTATAGTACCCTGTGGTACACCCTTCTGAATTGGTGTGACGTTTGAGTTGCTGTTAGAATACATGCTGTCGGATTCAAAATTGATAGATACATATTGTTTCCGATTCTCAAGAAAAGAGGCTATCCATTTTTGAGCAACTCCTCTTATACCATAATATCCCAATATATTGAGTAATAACTGATGATTAACGCTGTCAAATACCCCAAACAACAGCTGCGAGACATTCGCCTGCGACAACATACTCAATTAGTTCTATATAAAAGGCAGTCATCGATGAATTTGTCGATCTTCCTTGCTGGAAACCATGTTGTCTATTGGTAATTACAAACTTTAAGTTACTGAAAAAATTCATCAAACGATCTAAAAATGCATATTCGAATGCCTTGGACAAACTTTCCGGCATTTACTGCTTTGTAATTCTCCATCAACGTTCGCTCTTTTTCTTATACAGTGGAATCACTTTAGCTGTTTTTATTTTGCTAGGAAATTTCTTATATAGAAAAGATATATACTAAGTGACATATAAATCCGAACACCCAGTTTAAATGGTTTTATTTTAATAACATTTTGTATAAGTACTTAATGAAGCATAATAAGTAAATGATAAGAATTTTAAAATGATTGCACTGCTTCAAAGCCCTTTGACCTTTAATAATGTGTGGATGCACCCTGATGTGCTACGCATTCTCCAACGCGCCTAGGCATGCTTCTGATCAGGTGGTCAATGTCCTCCTGTGGTATCTCATTCCAGGCAACCACCAACTCCTCTCGAAGTGCTTCTAGAGTCTGAGGAGGACGTTGCAAATTGAGCAATCTCCTACCCATCATATCCCGCACGTGCTCAATTGGGGATAAGTCGGGAGATCTTGGTGGCCATGGTAACAATGTGACATCATTATGTTGAAAGAAGTCTATTGTGACTCTTGCAACATGTGGTCGGGCATTATCTTGTTGGAAAGTTGGATCTGCCAGGGTGTCAAGATAGGGTAAAAGATGGGGTTCTAGAACTTCGTGGATATAACGCTGCGCGTTCATGTTACCTCTGATGAAGATTAAAGGTGACCTGGAACCATAAGCTATAGCACCCCCAGAGTGACCGTTGTCTGCACCACTCAAGGCGATTACGTCGGTGTTCTCGAGATAAAGGGAGGACCCAGTGTGGCCGGTATGAAGACAAGTCAAAACTTCTCATTCGTTGGTAAACACTTCGCATGCCAATAGGTCTTCCGTGTTCTGCAAACCATTCATTTGCAATGGACCTGGTAGTGGAGAAACGGTCCCTTAAGGCCAATAATCTTAGGCGGCGATATTCACGGTCTGTTGTTCTACGGCGGCGTTCAGTGCCCCTTGCTCTTTACGTACGGCCTTCTCGAAGCCATGCATGACAACACCTAACCACAGTGTCTACACTTCTTTGCACTCTAACTGCAATTGCCCGAAAAGGAAGTCCAGCTTCCCAAAGTCCCACTATACGACCCCTATCAAACTCACTAAGTTGACGAAATCGTACAGGTCTCCGTACTCTAGGCATCGTAACCGATCGTAAAGGATGTCAAGAACCAAAATCCGCCAACGTTGATTCTTTACTGCGGCTGAAATATTCATTTTTAGAGCGTTAGTGAATTAAAAAAAAAGCAGTATAAAAACCGGAATGTCCAACTGATAAGGCTGAAAATTTTTTCACTTGTTATTTACAGTAAGATAAATACATTCACCAACTTTTATTAAAATAAAACCATTTAAACTGGGTGTTCGGATTTATATGTCACTTAGTATATTTATGAGGTATGTAAGTGGTTGTATTATCTGAGGAAGATTTTTATTAAAAAACCGATATCTCATCTGCATCAGCTGATTTTTCATTTTTGAGCTTGCCGAATAATGAAACTAGTAACTCATACTCCGTGAATGGTCTCAAAAATAACGAAAATGGATTGAACGTATTTTTATAGTATGTTTCCATTGCATTTTTATTACTATTAATTTCTTGCATGCTATCAACCTTCCTTTGAGCTTCGTTGATGAAGGCTGAGGCAATCTGACAACGATCTCGTACTAGTGTACCGTTAATATTAATTGAGATATTACGATTTTTTGAGAGTTTCTTGTCAACTCAGATACAGCACTCCACACTAATTTCGACTAATATTTCCTTTTTGTTTCATTCACCAAGATGATATGATGTTTTTTTGCCTGAAGGTAAGAAGGTTTTGTCTGAGGATAACATTTAGATAAGTGAAAAAGTTCCTTCAGTGATGTACTTGATCTTTTAATATCAGCATTCACCCTATTGTCATCATGGATCATATGAATTTTTCTTACAGGAGGTAGTGCAAAATCACCGAATAAAAATATTCGAATGCCATATCAAAATCGAACAAATCGTATATCGTCTTCAGATTTCAAAGACCATTCAAAATTATTTATGTTGACAGAGCTAAATGACCTTTTTAAGGCAGACTTACGAGTATGACTGGATTTGTTCATCCAAAAAATATCTTATTCCAGTAATACCAATCGATGGTCCGATACGGCAGTGTCAAATACACAACACGTGCCAGTATTTTCAAAACTTAAGAAGATCTAATCGATCAGTGTACATGTAGAGTGGGTAACTCTTGTGGGAAATTGCACCACTGAAACACAATTAAAACACAATATAACATCATATAAATACTTCAGATTCAGATTTCTATATAAATCTAATCTAAATAATAAGCTTCACATTAGGACTATACAAATAATTTAAAACATCTGTCAGCCTTTTACGGAATGTGTCAACATTTCCAATTGGGGAGCGATGGCAATTTAAAATAACAAAACTTTGATCATGAATATGAAATGATACAGCACATGCCTCAAAGTCCTGATAACAGAGTCAAACTGTACATTCTTTACAGTCAGACCATTTTTCACCCAGATAGCAACTCCTCCACATCCTTTATTTTTCCTACAGTAAAAACTTTCTAATGTAAAACCTTCAATATGGATAGACTTTATGATATGTTCTTTGACACCAGTTTCGACAATACATAAAAAATGGTGTTTATAATCAGAAATTTCAGAGGGGAGTGGGTTTATTTTACTGACATTCATAGTATTTATCTTCAGTAGCAACATATTTGGACCATTTAAGTGGTCTAATGGATCACTTTTTTTCGAATCTCTAAAAAACTGGATTCATAGCACTTTTTAAATTACATTCATGCAGACCAACCTTGAATGATGCATACTCGTTGGGGTACTTGGAGGTCAGCTTCTCGCAGGTCACCTCCGGGAAGTTAACTTTCAGTAAGCGAATCATATCATCGACTGAAGTACTTGGGTCTACCCGGTATACGTGAAGATAGACATACTTTGGTGTGGTCTTGATTCGACAGCTATAATTTTTTCCAACCAGGAAAGCGAGTTTATTCCTTTTCTTTGGTAATACAGCTGGATCTGTAGAACTAGTAGAAGGCTAAACCGCATCACTGTTGATATTTATGTACCGATTCAGGGTGGTTTCGGTATATATTTGCATCGCTGGCGATGATACATCTTTTTGTGCTACTGCCGAGAATGACGGTTCAACAGCACTATTTTTATTAACAGCTGATAACTGCTCGTGGTATATTGATTCTGATCATTTTGGCTTTTTGTGTTAACTTTTTTGCTGGATTCCTCTGTTGTTTTTTGTTCAATTTGTGGTCGTCGTACGGGTCCATTTATAGTCTCTTGAAATTTGGTTAACAAACCTTGATTCGTTCTGTTGCTCACTAATTAAGGCATCCTTTTCTTTGATTACATAGGTAAAGATCGAAATGTCAATCTTTTTATGCTCGCCACCAATGATTTCTTCTGTGGCGTCATAGAATGCAATTTCAACATCATTGTTATCACAGCACAAAAGTGTATTGTCGTCAAAAATGTTTATACTATTGTATCGTGCACATTTTGCATAAACCTATTTCCACATTTCACACATTTATGGTCATTTGATACCTTTTTTTTACACCTTAAATACCCAGCGCTAGAAAAGTCCTTGGTGATGTGGACTCCGACCAGCCGAAATGAAAGGCGTTTTGGTAAAATTCGGTTATCTATCGAAACCGGATGGGCACTAGGACGCCTTTTGGTCGTCAAGGTACGACATGATCCTTACCATAAGACTGGATGAGCTTACGCCACAATTGCGCGACGTAAGCTAGGTAGTCCCATGTGGACCGCTGGTGCCGGAAGCCATACTGCCTGTCGCTAGTCAAGCCCTGATGTTCGACGTAGCCCAGAAGCCCGCGATTTATGCACCTCTTCATCACCTTACTTATAACACCTCGGGGTCACTAACTGGAAAACTTCCTGCCTCTCTAGTTCAGCAACTCCTCGGGCGCCAGACTCGTTTAAAGTGTGGAGGGATCGCTGTAGACTGAAACAGTAGTCAGCCTGGGCAGCTTCAGTGAAGAAAATAATTCAGGGTTTATGCTTAAAACTGAAAGGGTCAGATTCGAGATACTTATTCTTCTCTTTTTGTATCTCTTACTTCAGGCAGGACGGTATTTGTAATTAAAAGCAAGACTTATAACACAAACTGGTATATTAACAGCAAATATTTACACTCCATGCACGGCCGGGATATCTCAAGTTTTATGTTACGTTTACAAATGGCATAAATCGCTGTCTGAATCCAGCTACCCTAGTGATGGAGCGGAGAAGGACGATAATCAGTTAGATCAGTGTTGAACGGAATCAAAAGCGGTTAAAAAGCAACAGTTAAAGCGTAAGCGCATGCGGTCAAGCTGGCTATGCGATAAACCCAAAGCAATGAACGGTTTATAGCAATAGTTGTATATGCATCTGAAAAATAAGACCAGGCGTGTATTCAACCCGCGTCTACTTCAAGCTCTGTTTGCCTCGTTCTCACTTGGATTTCAATCTGCACCCCAGGGAAGTAAGCACACTATAGACAAATATGTGCCTCCCTGACTTGCTTCTTGAAGCCCAAAGCAGTTATAAAATTCCCAAAAATCAAGCCGCGTGCTGTCGTTAATGTGCTTTTAAACTAGACTAAACTAATAGCTTCCTCATGAATGTGTTTACCTTTAATCTTTAAAAAGATAATAATATGGGAAACGCAATATTTGTGACTATAACTCAACCTATAGACCTTCTATATGGGAAGGATGTATTTGTTAGAGCATTTCGACTGTTGATGATTTCTACTTGATTCAACAGTCACATATGTGGAGCGCTAGAGACATTCAAGACGCAGAGAGCACTTCAGTCCACTGCCAACCACCTGCAAACCATGGAATATAATCATATGTATAATGTTATGGAAATGTGATTAGATATGTTTGTATTATAATGAAAAATCTGGTAGCTCTAGTAACATTGCAGTCGTTAATCTTATTGAAAAGAATTTGTTTTCATCACTATTACAACAACACAATTTTTCCATGCAGGTGCTGAAGAAGACCATCACCAGGCATGACTATGAATATTTGGACTTTTACTGTTCTCAAATGTTCAAATAGCTCGGATATATGGATGATTTTATAATGGCATGTGTTATTGACGCTGTTGCTCAAACGGATAAGTGATTACTTATTTTTCAAAACAGCAAAAAGATGTTAATAACACATGTCGTTATGAAATATTCCATGTACCATTTGTAAATGCCCAATATATAATTGTACAAGAGTCTCAGATATATACAAAGAGCCGGCAACGTCGTATGCGGCGTTCGAGCACAATCTGACAACCATTTGGCATTCAGAAAAAATGGCGATTGACACTGACATAAATCGACCGTGTTGCCCTATGGATAGCACAAAGTGACTAAGCCTTCTTCAATGTATATGTTATGTGTTCTTTAGTTGATTTTGTTCCGTGGAATAGATAAATAAATTTGTTAACATCAGAGTCGTTGACTAATTGTACTTTTATCGAAGCAGTCACATTACAATTAACAATTGTTAGTACTGACAAATTAGTTTTCAAATGTTGACAACATTGACAAATCTAACACTGAATCAGTGTTGTCAATAAAGAGAAGAATGATCGATTTATTTGTTCTATGGATAGTCATAGAACAAAATTGACGTAAGTTGCTATCTACGTGGAGACACAAGCTTGAAAACAAGAACACGTGGCTGGTGAAAGCCTAATACCTAATAGGAAGAAACATAACAGTTATGAAGCGATGTTGTCAAATAAGTAATTGATTTTGAATAGCTGGCTCCGACTTTGAAATTAGTAAAAAATAAATTTTTATGATTGTTTTGAACAAGTAGTTGCATGTCTTTAAGTATAGTTCTCAATATACCATTTTATTTTGTACGTAAACGTCATATTAGTATACGAATATCTTGTAAAATTGCGATAAACCTGAAAACTGGCTACATGTGACAACGTTGTAATGAACTTTCCTGTTTTCGTGTACATTCACGTGTCATCTCTCTGTCATTCGGCGTTTCACTTTTCACTTTCACATCTTGCCTTGCAACAAAGTTGGAACTTCGATATCATTTGGCAGTTTTTTGAGTGAAATAGTGAATTAAACTTGTAGTGAAACAAGATATAATGGCCAAACAACAAAACAAAGGTTTCACCAAAGAAGAAGAACTGCTGCTTCAAGACTTCAGTAGAAACGTATCCACCAAATCTTCTGCCCTATTTTACGGTAATGCTTTAATCGTGTCTGCAGTGCCAATATGGTTATTCTGGAGGATCCATATGATCGACATCTATGCCTCCATAGTGCTTTTTGTCGTTGTAACTGCAATTTCCACCTACCTGCTTGCTATGGCCTATAGAAACACAAAATTCACTTTGAAGCACAAGATCGCCGTTAAGCGAGAGGAAGCTGTTACCAGAGACCTGACCAAGAAGCTCGCTGACGACAAGAAAATGAGCAAGAAAGAGAAGGACGAAAGAATCCTGTGGAAGAAAAATGAAGTTGCTGATTTTGAAGCTACTACCTTTTCAATCTTCTACAACAACGCCCTATTCTTAGCTATTGTGATATTGGCTAGTTTCTACCTGCTAAAGTCCTTCACACCTGCTGTGAACTATGCTCTGTCCATTGGAACAACAGCAAGCCTTCTAGCCCTACTATCGACTGGTTCTCAGTAGAATATTTAATATTTATTTTGTTACTTGTTCACTTTTCATGTCTCATGAATTAAATCATATGAATCGTTTCTATCGTTTCATGCAACTTATAGTTTAAATAAACGTTTTTTAATTCTGTATGTTATTGATTCTTGGTACTAACAAATTCAATATATGCCAAATTCAAGTTGAAACAAATATCTAAATTACTTGAAAAAAGCTAAACTTGCTAAGCTTTTTTGTCTTGAATTGAGGAGCTTTTTCTTAAATGTTAAAGTTCTGTTTATTGTATTTTCCAATTTTGATTTGTTTTCTGTCAGAAATACAACTATGCTTTTGGAATGTTGAATTCAGAATTATAACTATTGTCATCATGACAAAAAATGGGAAATTGATCAGATATAGTGTTGGTTGATTGTATTTTTAAACAAATATATCACAGTGCAGCAAAATTTCATATTCCTAAATTTCTAATTCCATTAATCTAAACTAGTTTACTGTTTTAACTTAATTTGATAAGTATATCTATTTTAACACTAAGTATACTCTTCAAAAAACACTGAACAACATATTTGGTATCACTGTCATAAAAATTTAATTATTTTCATTAAAGTTAATTTTTCAAAATTCTAGACTACAGAATATATATCCACTGCTCTAAAAAACATAATTCAAATAGCGATGGCTTCACTTATCACAGTGTGTGCTCCCCACATTTCAAAATTTTGCTCAGCCTGGTTTTTCGAATAGCTTGCATGTGTATGCTTAGCATCAAAGAAATGTTAACTGAAATTATGTATGTACACTTTGCATAAAAAATTTATAAAGTAATGACAACAAAATAATGTATAGGGTATGTAAAGCATCCTAATAAGTTATCTAAATCTTCTCAAATAGCTTTTATGTTTTACTTGCTTCAGTAAAATAGGTTCCACATAAAATGTCGGTACTTTTTCTGAATTCAATAGCATGAGAAAATAAATGTGAAGTGGATATACTGTAAAAAAGACCTCACAGTAATCCTGATACCAAATACAAGTTCATCTTATCTAACGTCCAATATGACATCAACAATACCACCATTTGTGGCCATACTATCTTTATAAAATATCACAGGAGAACTAAAATACACACTAAACTTATGTAAAGACTGTAAACAAATTAAGGTTAGCCTATTTCTACAGATAATTTTAATAAGACGAAGGTAAGTTTGTCATTAGTGCCCAGCTTCTAGCTGTTCCTTCAAGCAAGTCTTCAGGGTTGTGAGGAATATTTTTCTGCCATAATCACTGAAGACTTTGTATTGATCGTTTTTCGTCACTTTTAAGAGCCTATCACTGAAACGAAAAATGAACTTATGAATTTCCCACAACGAACCCTAAAGTTTTGTTTGATAATTCGATATGTAACTGATCCCCAAAAATGACTTTTTTGGTCTAAATGAAGGTGAGTATAATCATGAAAAATCTTTTAGCCGCTTTACACGATCCAATACGTTGAACAATTTTATAAAGAAGATCGACCGTGTTCATGAAAATGGCGTCAAGTAGATTAACTCTATACTTCTTACGTCTTCGTCGGAGGTATAAAAAAAGGACGAGTCAAATCGTTTCAAAAGGCGAAATCGAATCGTGGTTAGGTAGGCTCACTTAGGTACTATAAATCTTCGGCATCTGCATATCAAACTATATAAAGCAAATCTCTCATATTTTTGTTTCCATGGCAGATGTAGGAAAAATATTTGAGATCAGCAGGTTCTTCATAATAAAAGGTCTGTCACTGACACCATATGCAACAATTTACAACCATTTAGCGAATACAGCTTCCAACCTACAATTTCCAGCCCCTGAAAATTATGTCTGAGCAGGAATCTCTGAAACGTTGTAATACTATGTTCCATCGATTTTATTTCCGCCATCTTGGATCATTTACTGCGACTACCGACTGGAAGTATTAAACTAGCCATAAGTACCGAGTCAATCTACTTGACGAAATATTCAGAGAACCATCATAGACACATAAATCAAATCCAAGCCAATAACCAAAATTTCTGTGTTATGTACCGCGGTTATAATATGGTCTAAAATGACACACGGGTTGATGACGTCAGTTACTCGAATCGCTTGAACGCGTTGGGTTTAACCGCGGTTTTGCTGCAAGTTGTTTATTTTAGAAAAGCGCGTATATAATTTCTGATTATTTTTATTATCACTTAATAATGGGTGCTTTTTCGTCTACAAGACTGTATGGAAAGTTTAAAAAGAAACCTTTCATGATATTAATGGGAGAAAGGTTTTTTTTTCAGATAATATTTTTTAATGATGGAACCATGGCTTTGTAGCTATGATAACTTTCAATTCTCTAGACTTTTTCGCATGTTAAAGAAAACATTCCTTGATTCAGCAGAAATGATAGGAAAAAGCGATGGAAAAAGATATCAGCAAAACCGTATTCAGGTGGACATTATCCAGCGAGTTTATATGGCCATATTTTAATATTCTTGTGGTATATGGCTACACAGGATACTTTGTTAAGCATAGGAACTAGATTTAAAGTGTCCCCAACAACAGTAATGAATATAACTAATAAGGTTGCCTACTTTGTGCTAAAACTGTATCAAGTTTCTCAAAAATGAACATGAGGTATAACAAAAATATCCAATACCGGCCAAAATTCTAACTTGTCATATTTCAAATAATAACCAGAAATATAAATCTACTCCGGAGTTGGGTAAATAAGATAATTTTACGCTGATAACTATGACATATAACAGCGGATTGATGACGCCACGGACCTTATAAACGAACCACACTCGCTTGAACGGATCGGTAAATACCAATCCAAAATGGTAAATACCATTTTCATTTGGTTTTTCGCTTGAATTTGATTATAAGACGGAGCAACACAATTTAAAGGTTAGACGAAATGGGGACGGTACATTTAAGGATCATGAAATTTAGAAAAATATATGTCATCATTTTTTTACAAAAGCATCGTAGAACACGACAGTGGTACCGAGTACAATTTATTCGTGAGGTTGATTGTATGAAGCGGCTATAAGTATTTTACTTTGCACACATGAACTGCAGAGTTGTACTTTCAAAATGTCTCGATATTTTGATATGATATTTCGATATTTTATACTTACAAGTCTCTTCTGAAAGTAGCTTGCTGTTGATGAAATATTCTATTCATGTCAATAACGTTGCATTGTAAGTCGCAAGCTGAAATCAAATTTTTGTGTAGATTACAAAAACCTGGGCTGGTACAGGGTGGGTCATAATAACACTTTTGTTTATATATAACATCTGAAACTGTGTGTTTTCCATGTCGATAAACACAATCTCGATACCCTAGGGTCAAAGGACCGGTCATATCGGCCAGTGCTGGATGTACGAAGTTCGACACGGTTACAATCTAAGTAAACGGTTTAATAAATTTAATTAAACCATTGCGTCTTGGCTTAACTAAACTTGTTTCAAGTAAACTGCTTCAGAAACCGGAATTTAATTAAACCAATTATTAGCTGTCACATAGTTAATTTTTTTTCAATTGGCGTAACTGGTTTGATTGATGTTTTCTCAGTGCGGCGAAAGCAAGACTTCGTTCTTCGGAAATATGATAATCAAAAGCGAAGGCTGAAATACAAACAATATATCTTATATATATAACTTACAGCAAGAATAGTCCATGATTGCTTGATTATAAATGCGTAGTCTTTCATGGAGCTTTTTTGAGTTAGGCAACTTGGGAGACGGTGGAATCGTAACAAGTGTAACCCTAGCGTTTTTATGCTTTAGTTCTGTAACTAGTTGCTTTAAATCGTAAATCATATTGTTTACGTTGTTGCCCATTATAAGATCTTGAAACCCAATCATCACAATGAGCCTTGGAGCTAGAATTTCTGCATTCTTCACTCTTTCTAAGAGCTGAGCTATGGTCTGCCCAGAGACACAAAGACCACATTGCTTGATATCTGCATGAAAAAAACATTTTTCCTTTATATAGAGTATTACAGAATGATGCAGCAAAATTGGAGGGCAAACCAAACCCAACACGTTAAAATATATAAAAAAGTTCATATAAAGATACAGATCCGGAAAAACTTCGTTGCCTTAATACGGAACTTGTCTGTCTTTGATTCCTCAAAAATAGAGTGAAATAGAGTGCGATATTGTGATGAATTTTGGTTCACGCAAATTATCAAAGGTTACATTGAATCCAGTCCCCCACGATGTGGCGAATGCCTTACAACGTTGGACACATGGCCATTCGCATTTTAGTAAATTATAAATTATCAAGTGCTTACAGTTGTTTCATTATAATGTCCTGTTGCAATGCAAGTGTAGTTGAGAAATATATTGACTTGCATTTCATAACTAACTAAAACGATTAAATAAATGATAAATGATAACTCTGGAAGTACTATCAGGATTTTGATAAAATTTTGACCGTAGGTTACTGCTATGAAAATGACGAAAAAGCTCTGCAGTTTTTGAAAACCGGTATAGTGGCGGCGGAGTTATCGTAAAAAAACGAACAAAAAACACACATTTCTGAGGCTTCTGACAGACTTAAGTTTTGGTCGCTGAAGACAGATCTGAAATTGTTTTTCGGTGCTCGATAAAACTGTTTCATCGTTTATTTTGTATAATTTTTACTTCAGTTGTAAAGGTTCAAGCGCGACACAGACCGATAATAGACGTTGGCACCACCATACGTCGAACGTCTAAGGCTAAAAAGTTCATCTCATCGTGTATGAGACACACTTGCCAATTGTGGGGTGTCGAACGTTGTAAACAACGTTGGAAGCATCGTGTAGGACCCGCATAACAAGTAGCAATTGCATCAATGGCAATATTTAGTCAAAAAACAATAAACCACTGTCTTTGTCGAAAAATTATCTCAATGTAAGATTGGTTCTATTTAAAAATACGCATCGTTTTCGAAATAAAAATTATTTTATTAATATGAATATAAAATACAGTAATCCAGCTGACACTTTTACTACCCGGAATGAGAGTTATATTTATCGCTCAAACTTGTTGGAGGGTGGCAACTTTTTGATGTTCGTCTATTAATACACTTCCAACCCCGATAATTCTAAGCATCTATTAGTCGTAAAATAGTATTGGTATTTTTGCAAAAACTACAATTTTTCGGCAAACATAAAGGTCCAATACTCAGTATAATCGCAACAAGGGAATTCCGGACCCGTATGATGATATAATTTTTTTCTTAAGTTTACGTGCGACTCTTCCCTTAAATTTTCTGTAAGCTTACTGGGAAAATTGTTGAAATCAGAAATTTGCATGCAACATTTATAGTTACCATCAGCATCAGGTACATAACATCCTAGCTTGTTATCTGCTATATCCAGGAAAAAATCATCCCCTAAAGCTTGATGTTTGTAAAATAATGGTAGCATATTTTCCTAAAAAAGAAACTAATATCTTATTATTTTATCTTTCACGAAACACAATAAAAAAATATCAGATGACGAAAAATTTCAAAAATAGGTGCAGAATCACAACTTTTAGCAGCATATGCTCATAGAGAATATATAACGTGTATAGATTTTACATAATTAAGAAGGTATTTGCCCATTATACCGTATCAGAATCGTGTTACATTCAAATTGCTGTTTGTCACTATTTTTAAGTTTTATTTGAAAATAAGCCTCGGTTGAGAACTGAAATTTGTGTTTTTGACCACGCTCCACCCAGAAATGACGAAGCAAGTTTCCAAAAAAAATATTATGCTATAAAAATTTCAGCTGTTTCGTTTATTGCTCATAGTACCTCTGTCACTGACATGACTTTCAAAAATGACCAGCATGCTGCTCATCGAAATATGTGCAGCCGTTTCCAAGACTACGAGAGTAAATAACATATAAAACTTGTTATTTGATATTCTAAAAGTGGATGGTTATGCGCACTTTTTACTTGTAACTTAGCATGCTGGTATTGTCTTAGTTTGGTCATATACAGGGTGTTTTCCACACATAAGGCAAGAATTCACTTCTTGGGACTATTCTGAAACTACTGTATTTGATCTTCTCGATTTGCGAAATACCTCTTGATTCCAGAGAAGCAAGCCCATGAAGAAACGTCGATAAAAACAGGTTTTTCTTAAATAATTTTCACATATCATCGTGTTCGCTTAAGTTTTAGCATCGCGTAACTCAAAAAATGGAACCATCACGATATGCGTGTTATTCGATAGGCAATCCAAATATTGCTCTTTCAAACATTTTTCAATTTTGAGTTACGCTGTGTTATAACTTAGGCGATGACATAATCCACCGAAAACTATTAACTCATTTAGTTCGCCTAAAGATTTTTTCCGACCTTTGTGTAATAATGGCTTAAGAATAATATTTTTAGAAATGCCTCGATAGTCTTGACTGCTCCATCTACATTAATGTAATGCTACCTGCGGTTGTTTCAAGAATTTTATAACACTGTACCAAAACAATAAGGCTGTTTTACTCCGAAACCCCAGAACCCCCTCCCTGATCTAAACGAATATTTGTGTCAAAAAAAATGTACGCCACTGACTTTTGTGCAATCTTTATTATATTCTTTGGATTAAGGAAATAGAAGTACACCTTTTTTGTCTCTTGATGTTTTTTCGTACCTTGCTTAGTTTTCGAGAAGTCCACTTAATTGCGTATCCCTGGACCACACAAGGAATACGGGGAAAAGTTTATTTTGGAAATTAAAAATAAAAGTAATTTTTTATTACTAATTATATAACAACAACCAATACTGAATAAAATTAACATAATTACTAATAAAAAATTATAAAAGAAAATAATAATTTTTAAAAGAAACTTTTCAATCAAGTAGAGTTTTTTCTCCAAAACTAAGCAAGATACAAAAAATGTCGTGACATAAAAAAGCTGTATTTCTATTTACTCAATCCAAAGAACATAATAAAAATTGCACAAAAGTCACTGACGTAAATTTTTTGGTCACAAACATTCGTTCAGATCAAGCTCGAGACGCCACTGGACTTAATAGATTCAATCAAGTTAGGGCTGAATTAGCTCCTCAATGCTATAAATACCACCGCCAAATTACAACAAAATTAGGTAAAGGATATTTAAGATCTTAAAATTACTTGACGAATCATTTGTTAAATTTGGTCATACTTAATTAACACCCTGTTTGTCATGTCATGCCCAATAAACGGTTCTAGCCCTAGCTCAACACAATATATAATTGGCAAACACTATCAACAGTATTCTATAGTTTTCATTTCCTTTACTCACCAATTTACGGAAAATACTGAACTTCTCATAGTCATTTACAGCCGGGTTATTGATGGATGCATGTACAAAAGACCCCTCTGGAAGGTTTTTGTGATTTCTTACTGTTGGCTTCCTTTGATAGAAATTATTCGTCCTATAGTCATTTCTTACGTATTGTACTTTGCCACCACATTTCTTCTGCTTTAGAATCATCTCTTTAATATGCGTCGACTTTTTACTTTGTTGAATTACAACTTCTCTATTGTGAAAATCACGAACAAGGTAAATGTTTGGCAAGGTGAGTATCCAGGATCGCAAAGACGTTGACCCGAATTTTTCATATGGAATAGAGAAACCACAGAATGTTTTAAAGTCGTCATCTACACATTCCAAAGGCAAACCTTTATTCCCGTAAAGGCATATTATGGATAAAAGGATTTTGTAAATTTGGTCTTCTTCAGTATTCTGATAGTCCCCCAATACCATTTTGAAGACAATAATTTCACTTTCGCCTGTTACACTTGAAAACAAGAATACTTACTGAACATGCCAGGATCTTCAGGTGAATGTGCTGCTAATTTTTTGCAATAACTTGAAAAAAAGTATAAAAACGCGCGTTTTGGTGTTTTTCAAATTCACACTTAGGTCTAATCCCTGGTAAGACTTATGACAGTAGTGGTTCAGGCTACTAGAATACTGTTGCCCTTTTCTCAATGACTCTGGAACACTTTTATAAAATCTCAATTTTATAGGATAAAACATTTTTTTGCAAAAAAGTTACAAATCTGGAGGATTTTTGTGATTGTTCTGGGGGAATTCTGTTTGATCCATCTGACAACGCTGGAAGGCTATCAAAAGGATAAAAGACGTGTTTTTGAGGTTATGTGTACGTGATATGTAGTAAAAATCAAAAGTGAATTCTAAAGTAACATGTAGTTTTATCAGTGTGTTACTGAATTCACCGTTTAAATATGAACCAAAGATACTCTAAAATACTTTTTTTGGTTGTAGTCATATTCGTTATATTCAAGTTTTTCCAGTTTTTCACGCTTACAGATGAGCCCTATTTACCAGAGCCAGATAATGCTATTGAAAGAGTTCGGGTAGAGGTATATTATGAAGCGCTATGTCCAGACTCAAAGTACTTTATAATCTATCAACTCCTTACAGTATTTGAGGAATTCCAAAATCACATAATTTTGGATCTTATACCATATGGAAAAGCTGAGGTAATTATATTATTTTAAAAATTGGACATTGAACTAGGTCCTATCTTTATTATATTTGCTTTACTAAAATCAAACATGCCAGGCTTGTGATAAGAATTGATTTTCATATCAGCCTTGTGGAATCTATGTAACATGTTTTTTCACATTAATTTTTTCTATAGATGCTATTTAAAACTCTTTGACATTTCTATTAACAAATTCTCTAACTCAAGCATTCATAAGCATTTGAGAATATAATAAGCATGTAAAATAACAATTTATATATTGAAAACTGGCATGTAAAAATTCTTGCTTACAATTTTTGAGCATTCCTCTCATGTGACTTCACAGCTGAAATAAAATCGTATTTTGCAATAACAGTGTCAAATTTGTTAAAATGCATAGCTTAGTCACCTAGGATATTTTTTTTACTGTTAATAGTACAAATACATCTTCTGTCAAGCCATAAAGGATTATTACTATTATTGGTATCTAGTAGGTAAACTTGCAGCAGCCTCTTTAGACTTATATTTTCTAATACATATTTCAAATAACTTTATACAGCAATTAGCCAATCAGAAAGCTTTCATAATATGTTTTTGAAAAATGCAGAAAACCTAACTGTAGTGACTGAAAAGCAACATGGTTTAATTGTACTAAAAAGGCGAATCTAAGGACACATGAAATGTCCAAATACATCAAGCTGTTTGGGCTGTAAGCCCGGAAATAGACATTTCAAAGTTGAAGTTTGCATTTAAAATACGCCATTTTCATTTTATGAAATTTTATTATACTGAGAGTTACTCGCACTGTCAAGATAAATCTAGAGACGCCTCATGTGTGAAAATTAGTCAAGCCCTTTGAGCTTATGATATAGAAGTCCTAAAGTTGAAATTTTCGTTGAAAATCCGCTATTTTGTTTTTATGACATGACTCGCGTGAGTCAACGCGAGAGATACATAACCCTCCTTCTGATGCAATCAAATAAAAATGACAACGAAGTGACAGGTGATTTTTCTAACATGCTTCATTATTATTTTGCATAGAATCCTTGATGCAACCTGTAATGTGTGTTCTATTGGAGAGCCTGGTCCTTAAATATTACATTTTTTTTTAGACGTTGGTAGTTGATGGAAAGCTACAATTCCATTGTCAACATGGTGAGACAGAATGTTATGCTAATAAAATACATGCATGTGTGATAGATCATGTAAATAATCCAGTAAAGCAACTGAAGTATATTGCATGCATGATTAAAGACAACATGATTCCAGATGTTGCTGGTGAAAAGGTGATACATCAGAAAAGTCTATTTTCGATCAGCAGTCAACAAAAACTTAAACATTGAAAAAAAATACCACAAATTTCCAAAATAATGAGTCAAAGTATTACTGGACCTATATTTATACGTGTTAATTGAGTATGTACCATACATTTAACAGAGATTCTTTGAGTAATTTCAAGACAAAAAGTTCATATAAACAAACGTTAAAATTTTAAAAAAAGTTCTTGGGAAATTTCTTAAATATCTTCTTTGGATTAAGCAAACAGAAATAAAACTTTTTTGTCTCTTGAATGTTCTTCGTATCTTGCTTAATTTTCGAGAAAAAAAGTCCACTTAATGGCATATCCCTGTACCACACAGGCAGTATGGGAAAACGTTTCAAGAGAACAAAAAGTTGTATATCTATTTGCTTGATAAAAAAAAACATGATAAAAATTGTACAAAACACAGTGGCGTAAATTTTTTGTCAAAAATATTCGTTCAGAACCCGCGCGAGACGCCACTGGACTTAATCAAGTTAGTGCCAAATGAGCTCCTTAATGTTATAAATACCACCCCCAAATTATAACAAAATTAGGTAAATGATATCTAAGATATTTATGAAAAAACATTTTTTTTTAAACTTCAACACCCTGTATCTTGAGAACGAAGTATTTGCGACTTATGTTTATATGAACTGTTTGTCTTAAAATTACTCAGAAAATCATCTGTTGAATTTATGGTACGTAATTAACACCCTGTAGGTATGAACTTTTATACTTAGAATCGTCACTTGAAAATTAGGCAGGCACTTTATTAACACCCTGTGAAAAGAAGGCATAAAAATGATACACTCGCCCAGTCACACATGGGATACGAGTCATCCTTTTAATATGGTTATTAACATTTCAGTGCGGACAAGAACAAGGCATCGACTTCAAGCCAATATCACAATGTGCCAAGGGCGACAAAGGTACGCAATTTTTGAAATTCTTCGGGGAAAAGACGCATTCTCTGAATCCACCAGTTAGATTTATCCCAACAATTCTATTAAATGGAAGTCAAACTGTGGTACCTCAATCCACGGTATTGAAAGATTTTCTTAAAGCTATTTGTTCTGTGTTGAAATTTAAGCCAAAGTTATGTGGATACAAAGAAAATAATTTGTCTCTGTTTTTATGAAGTGACGAGCAATAAATATTTTTTGTACAAATGGTGTCTTTTTGAATACAACCCAACAAAATCAGTTTAGTCTGTGAAAATCATATGACCTGACTCAGAGAGTTATGACTAGTATTGACTAGCACTACACTCGCAGTCGAAACTTATTTCATAAATCGACAGGCATGCGACAAATATACAATGTTTTTTTAGATTCTCCAGTACGATTTCCTAGAAACATTAGAAAATGACTAGCAAAATTTGAAATGTTTGACAAAATCCAATTTTGCTGTAATGTTTTAATGTTTTGTATAGTCAGTTTTTTATAGATGAAATCAATTTTAGGAAGCATTATGACAGAAACCACGGATTTATCGACTTCCGCGTCAAGTATGATGGAAACTTCTCCCATTTATGTTTCAGCTGTATATCACTTGATCAGCCATAAGCTACCATTGACATAAAATAACGCTCCTGCTAATCAACAATGAATTATTGTAAATTACCTTAGAGTGTACAAAGTCGCAATGTTTGCCCAATAAAAAACAATAAATATTTTATATTTTAATTATCTTGTTTAGACATTACACAAATGAAACAATTTTATTACAATGTTTTTACAACTTTTTTTTCTTGCTTTAGATCTATAAATACTGCGCGATACGATAATCGAACTCTTTCCAGTTGTGATAATCAAAGTAACTATATTTACTATCAAATTATATTTAAAAAATAATTTGGCAACGTGAATAATAAATACATAATGTATATCACAGGGCGACAAATTATATTTTGACCGTGATACGTGATTTTGCAACTATATAACGCACTTTAATCATTAAATGATGTACCATACTAAAAATTACAGATACGCTTCACTTGACGCTTTTATCGTGCTTTGAGCTATAGATACAAAATTTCAATGCTACTTAACATACAATAAGTGCTGCGTTTGAGATATCAAAGATAAGCATTGTTACTTAATCACTGGGTTACTACTATTAAAAGCGTAAAATAATGATAATGTTTAACCCATACAGTATATGAAATCGAACTGTCGTTTTAGAGATCGGCATTATGCATAATGAATAAAAAAATTTTTTTTAGATTCCTGGTGTCCACATACATACTATAGTCGTTTTCATGAGTATCAATTACGGTAGAATGACAGTTGATTCGTAATATTTAAAAATTCCCCATATTGGGGGACAATAATTCTAACGGATCCGACAATGCCAGGTAGACAGCCATATTTTGTTTTTTTTGTACGCTACAGATTCATTTTGTACTTGCTAAAAGCTCTTTTATTTAGAAAAGTTCATTTGCATGCAAAAAACAAAACTCTACAAACAAGCTTTACTAGATTTACACCCGATTCATCATTGCCGACGTTAATATAAAAATGTCACTTGGTGATCGGCTGTTCACCTCGGTAGACATCAAAGCGTGATGGATACTCGTGAAATAGGGTATAGATTTATATCCTATTTCACGAGTATCCATCACGCTTTGACGTCTACTGAGGTAAACAGCTGATCAGCAATAATGAATCGGGTGGAAATCTAGTAAAACTTGTTTGTAGTTTTGTCTTTTACATGCAAATGACATTTTCTAAATAAAAGAGCTTTTAGCAAGTACAAAATGAATAAATATATATATATATATATATATATATACACATACGACTGTAAGTTAATTTAAAATCATTTTGCATAGCTATTTCTTCTCAATGTTATTGCACCTCCTGATGAAGATGGCAAAGCCCATTGAAAGGTAGAGATTAATAAAGTATAAAGAGTCCTCTTTGCTTGAATTTTGTCGAAGTACCCAACAAAAGGCGGAAGCTTTATTTTTCACTTAACTGGTCTAAAAGCCAATGACCACGTCTCAAGTTATATATATATAGATATATAACTTGAGACACCATATCCCAAAACCCATGAAGATCTTAACACGTCACAGCGCCGCGAACCTCATCGACATGGTTCTATTAAACGTCTAAACTAGTTGAACTTCTTAGCTACAAGCAACTTTGATTGGCCTACAGCCACATCTATCCTATTTTCTGCTTCCTTAGGTATACCAGTTTCTTTATATTTATTCCACTCATGGCACTTTTCTTCTATCCTCCTAATTTCCTTATTCAGCAGATCGTTGAAGTAATGCGCACTAGCTTTAGGACCAGTAGTGGCCTCAGCACCAGGCAAAGTGCCCCCACTACTATTTCTAATATGGAACTCTTTTCTGGCACTATTTTTCCATCGGGAGATCGTCACAAATGGGCTTACGTACACAGATTCCCGCTTTATATATATATATATATATATAAACTTGAGACGTGATCATTGTCGTCTAGACCAGTAAGGTGAAAAATAAAGCTTCCGCCGTTTGTTGGGTACTTTCACAAAATTCAAGCAATGAGGACTCTTTATACTTTATTAGTACCTAGCTTTCTAGCACTTTCGGCACCGTTCAAGGTTTCGATGGGGGGTCAAGGTCAAAAGACCCAGCTCCGGCCACGCGGAGGGCTTTCGGCACACGCCATGGTGCCCCTCGTGGCAGGGGTCGCTCTTAGCGACCTCTACCCGGCCAAAGCGGGAATCTGTACGTAAACCCATTTGTGACAATCTCCCGAGGGAAAAATAGTGCCAGAACGGAGTTCCATATTAGAAATAGTACTGGGGGCACTTTGTCTGGTGCTGAGGCCACTACTAGTCCTAAAGCTGGTGCGCAGTACTTCGACGATCTGCTGAATAAGGAAATTGGAGGATATAAGAAAAGTGCGATGAGTGGATTAAATATCAAGAAACTGGTATACCTGAAGAAGCAGAAAATATGATAGATGTGGCTGTAGGTCAATCAAAGTTGTTTGTAACTAAGAAGTTCAAGCAGTTCAGACGTTTAATAGAACAGTGTCGATGAGGTTCGCGGGACTGTGACGTGTTAAGATCTTCATGGGTTTTGGGGTATGGTGTTTTTGCAAGTCGAGGATGTTGAAAAACGAAAATAATTGGCAAGAAGTCATCACTGTGAATAAAGTTGTAAAGGCAAAAATGAAAGGAAAACTAAAGCTCCAGCAACATCAAAAATTAAAGAAATGATAGCCACACCATTTTTGCAGCATCAGGTGTAAATGTAATTTTAACTTTCGTTCTAAATATTTGTAATCCGTTTTAATTTGTTCCTGACATATAGCTGTGTGTATTTTATGTTAATGTTGAAGAATGTACCAGGTATCCAGCTTTCACCAGGTTACTGGGTGTTTCCCTCAACTTAAATGTTAATAACATTTAGCAACAATCTCACATACTACTCTGCTGATGAAGATGGCAAAGTCCATTGAAAGCTAGAGACTAATAAAGTATAAAGAGTCCTCATTGCTTGAATTTTGTTGAAGTACCCAACAAAAAGCGGAAGCTTTATATATATATCAAATACAGTTAATCTGATTTTTAGAGGTGTTTTGTACCAGTCTATTTTTTTTATCAAAGTTGTTTAAAATTTGCGAGTTCTACTTAAATATTTAGAATCTCGTAATTTTATTATAAACATTTCACTTTGTGTACCTACATATGCGAAGCACTGAGAATTATGTACACTTTTAAAGTTATTCATAGACAAGCTCATGCAAAAGTTACACTAAAAATAGCTGATTGATGTATAATTCACGTGTGCCGCATTTATGAAAGGATAGAATAGATTATTTTTCCCCAGTTTTTTCTACCAAACATTGATAGATCTTAAGAAACGTTTCCAAATGATTGCTGATCTTTCTTGATTTTGTGGGCGAAAAAATTATTGTAGATAGCTCTTATGGTGCATAGCACTGAGTGGAGTACCTGCCTCTATCCACAAGAATATATAATAAACAGGTCTTTGGAGTTGCTTTTAATTGGCAGAGGATATTTTGCAAGCTATTTTGGGAGACAGGTACCTGAAATCTTATCATATTTCAGGCAGGTTTATACTGTATGGGTTGAATACAACTGGTAAAAATCTAATGAGTTACCCTGTGCTTAGTGCCTCACAAGCAACACTAAAGGGGTAAAGAAATACACAAATATACATAATTTGTTTCTATAAATGAGTAAATTAAATAAAATAATATGTATCTAAAAATATACTCTAATCATATATATATAAGACAACTGAACAAAAATATGTAGCCATATAGTTTAGATTTGCTGGAATACTAAGCAAATTATTTCCATTGCACTAGAAATTTTTATTTTTCTGATTATTTCCTACAAAGCTAGCAATAATAAATAAAAAACTAAAGATGTCAACATTCTTCAATGAGCAATTTTTAAATTATGCCCATATCTTCAGAGATAGGCATTAGTGATCTGCTATCTGCCACCCAAAATTTCCCTATTTTTTTTTACTAAAGTGCAGTGTAAGACAGTACTTTGAAGTATAATTTCATAATCTATCCACAGAAAAAAACATACCTACATTGCAACAACAGTAAGTGATTCTAAATAGTTCTGAAGTGTGATAAGATGCTAAAATTGCTTTAGAACTCAATTAATATACAAGAAGTGTATACAGACATTGTTGCACTCTTCTATCTCTTAGATAGCAAGTTGAAATAAACAATAGCCAAAGGCTGAGAAAAACATAGGATAAAACTTGATACTTGGAAAATTTGCAAATGATACTGAAAAACTTAAATCACATGTGAAACCTTGAGACATATAAAGGAAACAATTTTCAGGCCTTCAAGTTTTGAAATTCAAAAATAGGTAAACAATTTTGCCAAATAACTATCTGTTAAGGCTTCTATTAACAAAAAAGCCTGATCAAAAATCAAATAGTTACATCTTATCTTACAATAAATTTATCAATATTTGAGTTATTATGTTGTGGTACTTGAATTTTTAAATGTTTGTACAGACTAGTTGTATGATGGAAAAAAATGAGTCTATAAGCTAGATAATATTATAAATGTATGTTGCATTTTTCAGTAAATGAAGGACTCTTCCAATAATAACAATTTGTAACTTGAATGGCTGAAAAATATCTTATATCTATTCAGTCTTCAGCAATAAATGTGTTTTGGTGTGAATCAATAAATCAGAAATAATAAGAAAAATAAAAGTAAGAAATAAATATATTTGTAGCATGAGCTAACACCAATCATACAAATTTGAAACTTTCAAAGAAATATCACCTAGAAACTCTTAGTACAAGATACTTAAAATCATTAAATCTCAATTTTAGGTAGGAATTTACACAGGACACAAATTCTTTAATGCTCATTTTGTAAATGCAGCAACAATAATTTACAATATGGAACAAAATTGATACAAAATACGAACTGAGTTATATACAGTAGTAGGGAGGTAACCTTTAAGAATTCTGGCCTGGCACAATCACAACCATTCTCCACTAGTGATGACGAGATTGAGTCCTGCTACTGGATAGCACAAACTATGCAGCAACTGACGTCTGGAATGTTGAATGGAGATTTCAGCACCATATCTTGAAAATCACCTCTCAAAACGAACATTACAGTAGCGATGGTTTTGAATTGTGTACTAAAACGTTTGTGGCATGCCAGGATGCTATAATTTGTGATTGCTTGTTAACCAGGTTAACCCTTCATAAAGACCATCCCCACTAGTTGCACAGGCTGGCTGAACATGCCAGTTCCGATCTCGTATACGTGTGAGGCCTAGTTTTTCTTGGATTTCATGGGGTTTCATTGCTTCAGGCAGGTCTTGTTTATTGGCAAAAATGAGTATTATTGCATCGCGCATCTCTCGATCATTTATGATACGATGAAGTTCTTGCCTCGCTTCATCTATTCTATCACGATCAGCACAGTCGACAACGAATATGAGCCCCTGGGTACCTGTGTAATAGTGGCGCCACAGAGGCCTTATTTTGTCCTGCCCTCCGACGTCCCACACATTGAATTTGACGTTTTTATAGGTCACTGTTTCTACGTTGAAGCCTACTGTTGGAATTGTCGTTACTGACTGTCCTAATTTTAATTTGTACAATATTGTCGTCTTGCCAGCCGCGTCCAGACCAAGCATCAAGATTCTCATCTCTTTATTCCCAAAGATTTTCGATAGTAACTTCCCCATGGTTCTGGAGGGCTTTCACTAATACTATTAACTATGACTAAAGCGGCATAATATTATAATTTTCCAGGAAACATCCTAATTAGTTAATCTGATAAATAGCACATCACACTTCATCATCATTTCGGATTCTACCAAATACACGAAATACACCTTTGACACTTGACGATTTTTGCACCAACGACAGATGACAGAATCCTGATAAGTGGCTAAGCAGTAAACGTAAACGAAGATTAGCCAGCGTTGCCAGATGGGTCCAACAGAACAGGGGGGGAAGGTTTGTCAGACAAACTTGTTCCTTGAACCACGGTTGGGCATGAACATAAAACGATACGCGCATTCGCTATCACTTCGAGATTTGGGGATTGGGATGTGGATTTACAAGATGAGCAAATCCTTGCAAAATGGCAGAGAAGACGAGTAAAAGTCTAATTCTTTGTCACGAAACACGCGTGTGAGACAAAGATAGTTAAATCAGTCGACCAGTTTACAACTTATTATTCTGCTGCTTTCTGTGTTCTATGACTATGTATGCATTTCTACCAATCTACAATTGACATACAGATGTAGAGATGGGCTGGCGTAGATGTTTTGTGGAATTGCTATTTAGCAGTGGACAGTTTTTCTTAGTTAAAAATGGAATGAAATACTCCAAAAATACCCAACGACTTTATTCTCCTCCCCTTGAACATTTTATCCCCCAAGGCACGCAAAAATCCCCCAAATTTTGGAGAAAGTCCCCCAATATGGCGACCCTAGCAGATATCGACATTACTTACCCAGCGCTACTCAGTGTATATGTTTTGTGAGCACTACGGTGGCGGACGTTGGAATAAGCCAATTATTTTTAATTTTCCTAAAATATAAATGAGACTCCAAAGCACAGTTCAATAAAAAAATGTTGGATCAGGATCTAACCTAAAATGCACACAGTAAGAGAAATATTTCATTTCCTCTCCAGAAAAAAAAATCAGATACATTTTTTGGCAATGTCATCAATCTAAGAATAAGAAAAGGGCACTTAAACATGGCAACACTGTACACCAAATTTCAAAAGTTGGTAGCACTGACGGTTATAAAATTCGAAGCTTGAAAGTTGAAAGTACTTCAGTAGTGTCCGGATTTTTAAAGAATGCTGGCTGATTTTGATCGCATTCCGGAAATTTTTCGTTTTATCGCAAGTCCTGGCACGTGATTCTTTGGATCACTCAGACTATTTTTTTGCTGACTGCCGAAATACCGCTTTATTTGGAAGATACAGGATCCTAAAGAACACCAGTGGAAGTTAGTTATTCTCAAATAATATTTTAAGAGTATTGTACTAATTTACGAGATGTGATCAATAAAAATATATCTATCTATCTACAGGGTGACCCAACGACCATTTGTGACTCTCCTGGTATATTTTGGGTAAAACGCTCGGACACGTCAATTTTTATTTCTAGGGGCCTTTTCATCTATAGTCGTACAATACAGAGTGATCCAAACATAAAGTATTACGTTAAACTTTAGATTTTTAAATGGAAACCCTCATTTTTTTTATTTTTAGATTTTCCATGAAGCTTTTAGTAAATGTTGTATAATAAACCTGTCTTCAGTCGTTGTGAAGCTATGTAAGTTTATAATAAAATTCTAGAATTATATCGTAAAAATAATAATCAATAACTATCATTCCCATAGTAACAAGACTTTAAAATTAAGAACAAGTCTCTGAGTTTTAAAAAAACAGTTTACACGCACATTACCTACAGTTAAAGTAAAAATTAATTTGCTATAAACAGTGTGGTAGTAAGTGCTGAAAGTGGTGTCCATTTACCTCCATGCAATAATAAAAATTTTGTTCGAATCTATTCCTCACATTTTCAAGCATGTCTTTAGTTATTTGTCTACATCCAGCGGTAATCCGTTGACGAAGATCTTGAAAGGAATCTGGCTTCGTACTGAAAACTTTACTTTTCAAATGCCCCCAAAGAAACTAACCTAAAGGACTTAGGTCCGGAGATCTCGGGGCCTCGTCTGTCGATCCAGTGATTCGGGAGATGGGTGTTCAAAAACTATCGTACTGGAGCCACATAGTGCGGCGGTGCACCAGCTTGTTGGAAATAAATGTAATTTTCCTTTTTTTCTTTTAGTATAGAAGCAGCCGCGCAGGCAGAAGCCTAAATGCCGGAACACCGCGGCTGCTATGATGATCCCAAAGAAATTTTGTTAATACGATTTTTAAATTGCATAAGGTTAGTAGAACTGGGAAAAGCTACCTCTTGTAGATTGTTCCACAATCTCGACACCCTCGGGACAAAGGAGCGGTCCTATTGGCCAGTTATGGATGTACGAAGTTCGACACGGTTATGATGGGACGCCAAAGTCAGGCGGGTCTGTCTGGCAGGCACATTGCGCGGCGACATCATGGAAGAGAGACTGCCTGTTAGAGAAGAGTTATCGATCAGTCGGACCGCCCTCCTCTGGACAGCATCAAGCATGGATAATGCAGTAGGGGCGGCAGCAATTTCGTTTATCCAGTTTTTGAACTGCCTCAGGTTAATAGAACTGGCACTGTTGATTGTTCCACAATTTCGACACCCTCGGGACAAAGGAGCGGTCGTATCCGCAAGTTCTGGATGGACGGGGTTGATCGTACAGGGAAGGAGGTCGTTGATTAGTGACAGGAACAGTGTCGGACCCAAGACCGATCCCTGGAGAACACCCGCGTTGACGTTGTGGGATGAAGAGGAGAACCCGTCAATTACGGATATCTTGCATCCAGAGAAAGAGTCAGCCACCCATCTGCAAAGCTTTTCTGGGAGGCCATATGATGGAAGTTTGATTAAGAGGGCAGCGTACCACAGCTGATCGAACGCTTTTGTGATGTCAAGAGCAACGACATGAGCCTCACCATAAGACTGGATGAGTTTACTCCACAATTGCGTGACGTAAGCTAGGAGGTCCCCTATGGATCGTTGGTGCCAGAAGAAATTCTGCCTGTCGCTAAGCAAGCTGTGACGGTCGAGGTAGTCCAGAAGCTCGCGATTTATGCACCTCTCCATCACCTTACTTATAACAGAAAGCAGAGCTATAAGATATCTGAAAGAGACGCGAAAGAACTGGAGCGACAAGAGCACTCGTCTTACGGTCTTATGCCTGAATGTTACCTCCGCATAGTGTAGGGAACCCTTTGAATTGACGGCGCTTGGGCGTGTCCATGATGGAGTTGGCAGCAAAGATTCTTGGCAAGCACTTCCGCCTTGGCCTTTGAGTCGGTTACAATCACTCCATCCTGACACGTAAGTGCTGGAATGGAAAGCTACTGTGTGAGAAGTTCTTTCCAATCTGCTTGGCCAGCGTCTAGAAAGACCGACTGCCATTGCGCTGCGACATTACCCTGTGTCTTACTTTTATATCATGCTGGTCTTTGGCATTGCGGACCGCTTCGTTATATTTGTTTCTGGACTCATACGTCTTGCCAGTCAGGTTTCCAGGAATAAAGAAAGGTCCTACAATATGATTTCCGCAAATGCCGGCCCACACATTTAATTTTCCAGGATACTGGGAGTGTACCTCTCGAAACAAATGTGGATTCGAGTCACTCCAATATCGACAATTATGACTATTTACAGCACCATGCAAACAGAACGTACACCCATCTAAGAAACAAATATTAAATAACAAATTTGCGTTGTTGGTTAAACGTTTGGACATTAATTCGCAAAACTCCAACCTTCTATCAAAATCGTCTTAACTCAGCTCATAGACAAGTTTTATCTTGCACGGGTGAAATTTATTGTCTTTCAAAATTCTTTGTACTGCTGAGCGTTTAAATCCTGAAGAAGTAGCCAGTCCACGAGTGCTTTGGGTGTTGTCAAGTGATTCGTATTCCAAAACTGATATCTCTGCGGCTTCATTTCTAACTGGTTGATTTTCTCGATGACGGTTACGGCGAATATTAGACACAGATCCAGTGATCCAGTTTCTTCAAATTTTCTTATCAACTTAGCCACATACCTACTTATCGGTAATATTTTTGTCTGTATGTAACGCATTAAACTACCGGGCAGTAGCTCTTGCAATGCTCCCATCTGGGTAATTCAGTTTTGTTATTTCTACCCTTTCTTGGATTGAATAAGTCATTGTTCAATATTTATTACAACTAGGCAGGTAATTTAACAATTTGAAATGGAAGACAAAGTTTTTCTCTGACATGCGATGACACTGATTGATGCTAAGAGTTCTTGATGGTATCCATGATTATTATTTTTTGCCGTGTATTCAATTATTATCAGTATTAAGTTAGTCGAATTTTATTACAAACTCAAATAGCTTAACAACGATTGAAGATAGGTATAAACATTATACAAAAGTTACTAAACACCTCATTAAGAATCTAAAAATTGAAACAATGGAGTTTATATTTAAAAATCTAAAGTGTAACGCAATTTCTTATTTTTGGATCACCCTGTATTGTACGGCAATAGATGAAAATACGTCCTCCTGGAAATCAAAATTGATGTATCCGAAAGTTTTTTCCCAAAAATATACCAGGATAGTTACAAATGGGGGTGCGACCTGTATATAATCTATATATCTACTGTGTATAATCAAATTAAGTTTTGACACTATAACAACTAATTGAGACCTCATATGATATAGCCAATAGAAAACTCACAGCGCCTACAAAAATTTACTGTCGCAATTACTTAGAGAAATTACCAACGTTTAAGCTTTATACTTACGTATGGATTATTGGAAATAATCAAACAAACGCTTTTTGTTAATTTCAAAAAATAGAAAACTACTTTTGGCATTACCCACGTACAATAGATACTCCCTGCCAGTTGGTGTGGGAAGTCGGACAGCCCTTCTCTGAACAGCATAGAGCATGGATAATATAGTAGGGGCGGCAGCACCCCAGGCATGTGAGCAATTCTCGAGGCTAGGTCTAAGTAGTTCTTAGCCCCAAAAAAATAGCCTAGCTTTTCCCCAGCACCTACCGCTATTGACGAGATGTG